TAGTAGGATTTATCAGCTTGATTCTATCAACTAGAGCAAAGCTCTAAGCCTATCTCAAGACACACTCGTTTCCTTAATATGGTGTCTACTTAATTATAGCAATTTGTATTTTTATTAAGTTCCACTAGAAATGGCATTAGCGTTAAGTGGAATATTTTTTTTTTGCGTAAAACAAGGATAAGTACTGTACAGTCGGTAGCATTTGTAATATCTTTTTTACACCTTATTGCATTGTCTTACGGTTGAAATAGGTGTGTAATTTCGCTGGTCTGTACATTCCTGATCGTGGAGCCGGCTCATTTAGTTTTATTAGCGCAGGCCTAGAGCATACTTGCCTGTGGATTCATACACTTTGGGTAAGTGTCCATTGTTATCCGATATCAGGAACTCTTTTTCTTTGAAAATTTCAAAAGTTCCGTTTGAAATTATCCGTATCGTAGGAGCAAGATCGGTAAAAGTATGTTAAGCATAGAGTCGGAACGAAATACTTATTAGCCGTGCAACAATGTATTTACAAAATTACAATTTCTATGTATAATAAGTATGTAATTACAAAAAAAAGTATTTAAGTATGTTTACATCCGTCGTCTAGTACCCATAGTACAAGCTTTGCTTAGTTTAGGACTAGAGGCGCAGTGTAAAATGTCCAAGGATATTTATTTATACTTATATTTAATTAATGATATACATTTCACTCTGTTAATTATCGCTTTCGTCTGTTAGTTATCGTTTCGTATGCAAGAACGCGAACGAGCATTCGCGTCGAGTGTGTCGTGGTATCGTGTTACGCGCACGTTACGAGCGGCGTAACGTTTTACTGCCGCCGCGATGGCCGAATCAAATTCCATCTTCTTTGTTGCTCTATAAAATCCAAATTATTTTAAATTTAGAATCCACGATAGAAAGTAACTTGATGCTGGGACATAGACTTAAAAAAGAAGAACAGAAAAGGTTTCAAAATATACAAGTTTTCTCTATAAAAAACCTTTACGCTACAATGTGTGTAAGTAACATCATGAAGAATATTAATTTTACAATTGAAAGTTAAGGGCAGATTATATGTATTTAAGTACCATCCTAGACTGCATCTCACTTCACCAGGTGAGATTGAGGTCAAAAATCTGCTTTGTTCTGCATAAAAAAAAACAAGATTAGATAATATTATATCACGAGCATACCTAAATAAATACCATTTAAGTAGGTATATTCGTGTAAGTAATTAGAACTATTTAATCTTAAAATTAAGTTTAAAATCTAATAATCAAACTCTACTGAAGATACATCAGAAAGTAATTTGAAATATTTTCTAAAATGTTACAAGAGAGTCCTTAAGGATCAACGCTTATGTAAGTCAAATGTAACTTTTTGAATTGAAACGTTGTAAAAACAAATAAAGAAAAACATTACGTCGTAAACCTTCCTATAAACGTTACGGCTCGTTTCAAACTGTTACGAGCACAATAGAATCGCGTACAGTAGAGATAGGAATCAATTTGATGCATCATCACCAGGTCATTAAGTCTCAATTGCAGGAGTACCTACCTACATCTTATACGGTACTACGTACATTTTTGGGGTAAAAACCTTTCCTTTAATGAAATTAAGTTAGGAACTAGGCTTTTAAATGGTGCCAATATTGGTGGGAAGTGGGGATGCATACGTTTGAAAAGTGCTTGTTGCGGGAGGTGCGATTTATTTGATGCCGAGTGTATTCTGAGTGAGGTGTAGGTAGAGTTAAGCTTCAGCCAAACCAACGCGTGCAGATCGCGTCGGTGCGATGGCGATCACTGCGCGTGCATAGGGCAATAACAGGACGCGCGACCAGTGATAGTAGAGAGAGAGAGACAGGAGTCAAGACGCACGTCGCACGCGCAGCTACTGCCATCGCCGACGTGATTTGCACGCGTTGGTTTGGCTGAAGCTTAAAGGCGTATAGAGTTGAGCTTAAGAAGCTTGGCTTTTCATGAGATCTGATAATTTTTAACAGTGTGAGTTGTATCAATATAAATGTGGCTTCATAATGAGTACGGGACTATTCTCACCTCTCGTCCCACCGTTGCAACTCCTGTGTAGCCAGGGTTTACAGCTTGACCGATAATAAAAACCCACCCAATGAAGGTCAAATAGTCAGGGAACGTTACCCGTAACGAAATTAACTAACCAGCAGATACAGAGAAGATACTAATGAGAGATTCTTCTGAGCCTTCTTCTATCATTATTAAAAGATTAGAAGAAGCACACGACAAGTAAACATCGTTTGCGATATTCCAAAAAAGTCACCGACTTCTTGGCTCCGTCAGTTATTAAACTTTAGTTTGCAATAAAAAGTATTCATAGTTAAGGACTTAGTGCCGAGTATTAAAATCATAAGGATCTCTTGATTTACAACAACTTTTTTTTATCACAACATGATTAAGTTATTACTTATCTATCTATCTTAACAACAGCATCTGCTAAGAAAAATTTATAGACAAGCGACCAGCCCGCCGTTTCGCACGAGTGCCTTAAATTAATTATAACGGGACTATTCCCACCTCTCGTTCCCACCACTGCAACTCCTGTGTAGCCAGGATCTACAGCTTGACCGCCACAAAAACCCAACCAATGAAGGTCAAGTTTGTCCCGGGGGAAAGTTAAACTGTCATTGGACCCGCAACGAAATTAACCAGAAGAACATAGGAGGAGTTCGAAATTAAGGTTCGACTTCCCTCGATTGCAAAGCGGATGACAGGTGACAAACAAAGGTTTAAAAACCTTTAAGAAGAGATAATGCACCACGGACAATAAATTAAATTAAGGGGGCCTATCTTATGAGCAATTAGCAACTACCTTAAATTAATTATGTAAACCTTCCTCTTGAATTACTCTATTTTTTGCTGAAAACTGCATTAAATTAATTGCGTAATTTAAAAGATCTAAGCGAACAGACAGCTGGAGCGACTTTGTTATGAGCGATAAGATTTCGATCGACTGGAAAGTCAAAGTCAAAATTCCTTTATTTCCATGATACTATTAAATAGTGCAAATCTTCAGCTCTTTTGAATCCTTTACATTTCCCATAATCTTTTTGCCCCATAATTAGCAGAATAATTAGGCATTGAATGACGATTCCATCAGTTCAAAGTCCCGGGAACAGACAGTCTGTCAAATTATTCTATTAGCAGCCCATTTATTGATTAGTGTAATTGCCACCCGATATAACATCCTATAACTAGACTCCTTGATTGTTATCTTTCAGTGTAGCTAACTACTACCATGTTTCTGATCGATGTGATGTACATTTATAGATCGGTAGACTGCATACTGTAAAATATTTTTTTGTGTTTGGAGGAGAATGAAAACCTTTTAAGTTAATAATGATTACAATGTTTTAATTTTTACTCTCACAATACACTCATAACTATACTAATAACTTTGTGAGGGGAATTTTCTTTCTGGAAGTTGCTTCTTACACTAGACCAGCGGTTCCCAAACTTATTTTGTCTTTGCCCACTTTGAGAAAAAAATCTTTTTTAGCGCCCCCATTTTTGTAGTCAAGAGTCGAGTGCTCAGTCGGTGTCTAAGAATCCTCCTAGTATATGATATTATAAATCGCCTCTCAAGCCTTTACACAATGCCTCGATTTTTTTCGGGGTCTCTTACCCCCGCCCCCCTTTAAGCCTGCAGCGCCCACAAGGGGGCGTTATCGCCCACTTTGAGAAAGAATCGCCCACAAATAGGAATCATTGTCACATCGTTACCCAGAACTTTTCTTACAGTTGTGATTGTAACATAAAAAGTTCTAAACTTAACACAAGCGATTCGATTTAACGAGCCGCGTTACAGTGATCAATATCGCGCTCGAGTAACCCGGGGCTTCCCTCTTCAATTATTGACGGTACCCACGGCTGCAATGTGCATTATTAATATCACTAGCGGGCGCTTTGTAAACAGCCCATATTATGTATAGATTTAGAGCGGTCGTATTGTGGACGTCTTAGGGCCAATAGAAATGTAATTTTAGTACATAGGTACGAGTACAAGCTAATCAAATCTATCGCGGTAGTCTCACTGAAGCTCGGGGTACACTCATACTGGTTACGTCAAAGGCATTTGATGTCGACTGCGTAAAAAAGTGTTATTTTGTACAGCGCCCCTAGCGGAAACTATCAAGAACTAAAATCTTCATATATTTTTTTAACGCGCTTGCTAGTTTGATGTAAACTCACACTAAGCCCTCTGAATTGAGCGAACACGTTGACGGGACTGTGCTTTTACGGATATGTGTTTATCGACCTTAAATTGTTTTCTTGTTCGTTCCTTTCAGCCAAATGACGTCCACTGCTGGAACGACCAGTCCTGCACTGTCCGCATCCATGTGCTTCCCGCCTAAATCGATGCAACGTCAAATAGAGTTACGCCCGTTTTCACCATAAATCCTTAATTTTTAAGTGACCATTATGAAAACAAAATTCCTGTTACATGTTACCATAGGGGTCACTTAAAAATTAGGGATTGATGGTGCAAACGGGCATTAGCCTAATTAGTGGTGGGTCGGCTATATCTGCCGGAAAACTGACAATGGTGTAAACAGGTTTTTGAATTTATGTGATCACATATCGGCAATCGTAGCGTAGGATGACCTGCTCGGTAAACCGACGACCTAAGAAGATAGAAGAAAATCGTGCATTTTGGTGAGTGTATTAGTTAGGGCTTACGAGCAGTGGACTGTCATTGGTTGAAATTAAAAAAAAAAACGATGTAACATCACGTTCATATCTACTTGGGGATTTTTGTAACCCTCTTTTAGAAAAGGACTTCAAAACTTAATGTCAACAAGAAAGTAAAAAGTAATAACTTTCAAATTAATTTCAATCTAAATCGGAGACCACAAAAAACGGATTAATAATTCGCTCGATAAATTCCGTCGACTCAAATCCAATCAGATTTCAATTAAATCTGAAATCGTTTAGAGATTACAGTAGTAACATAATTCTGAGCGATGGGCGAAATATCAGAAAATGCTGACAAAAGAGATTTTATACTTCGTCGTCTGTTTCGTTATTAATTTGAGCGCTAGTGACGACACGGTTATAGTGAGTCTCAGACCAGAAGATGTGGTGAACACCTTCAAAAATGTGCTGTCGTCTAGGTATATGAAAGAGCTTGCGAACGAATTTGCGGCTAAAGCAGCTCATTACTTTATTAAGGAAATGAGGAATAAGGAAAAGGAATTTACTAAAGTAGATCCAAAGAGGTATACAGATTTCATATTTTCAGTCAAGCATAGCAAGCTTAAAATACACAGAATATGGTGAACTGGTCAGGTGTTTATCGTAGTTTTAGGTCTACAACGCCAGTTGCGGTTACGGGTCAATCTCGCTTAAATAATGTGTGTGGCGAAAAAGAATATTTATAAAGACCCAATTATTATTAGGCATCAGGCCATAACACATCGTCTTCGATCTACTGTATAAACCAATCTGTTATGTTTGATAACATTTCGTTTTATTTTTTAGTAACGACGATAACTTTGGCTCAAGGATCCCATCCCGCGCTGAATACCCTCGTAACAACTATCCAGAACTAGCAATATTAGACGAAGAAGAAGCGATGGCTCTTCTCCAGGACCCTTCACCAGACGGCGACAACTTGGAGAAGGAGTCACCATATCTCAGCAACGAAGAAATTTCTGGGAAGGATAGCAAACGGGACATTCCAGTGATAGGCGTGATGAAAATCAATGGAGTGTATTTCAGAAGACTGCTAGGCGTTCTTTAATATACCACTCATACTTTTGACAGCTATCCATTTGTGTATTTTAAAACCAGCCGACGGAAATAAAGCCATCGAACGGGCAATGAAATCTGAAACTTCCACTGCAAAAAAACAATTCAGCACTGAAACATTTTTATGAGAGAAATTTTATTGTATGTCCGAAGTATTGTGTGTACCTATGCACTGGACTATTATGACGTTGTAGACATTTCAGTCGGAACTACGTACTATAAAAAAAATAAAGTATTTTCCTATTTTTTATCATGTTCAGACGAGAAAATCCTTAGCTTTGTGCAACCACCCTCAAATAAAGCATGCCAACTTGGGCAACCTCCCTCAAAGAACTCTATAAAGCATGCTCTCCTGCTTTTGGTCATCGATCCATTGAGCAGATAGGCGGTCTACGCTATGTTTAGAAGTGGTCTCCATTCGAGAAGACTTATCTTTTTCTTCTACTATCGTGGCGACCACGTGCCGGAAGACGTAGTGTGAGCAGACCCCTCACTAGGTGGCCGGACGAGCTGGTGATAGTCGCGGGAGGTGCCTAAATGCGGACGGCGCAGGTCGTTGAAATCCTTGGGGCAGGCCTTTGTCAGTGGACGTCATTTGGCTGAGACGACTATCGACCTACAGCTCCACTAGGTTTTGGAAGTAGACATTGTAAAACTCCAGCTTTATCGGGTCGATTGTCCGTAAGCTGTCTGTTTGCGCTCTGAAAGCGAGCGCCAGCGTTCCCGCCATACATCACGGATGAATAATTGATGCTCTGGCGGGACGCCGCGGAGTCCTGGAGCTCTAATTGTGAGATGGATTTAATGTGAGCGATATTTTTTAAGGCGTTATTAAAGTTTTGGTCGTTTAGAGCGATTATGGCGTTAACTGGGCGTAGTTTGTTGCAAATATTGTCTAATTTAGAGTAGCTACAGAAAGTTAGGAAAATTAGAAATTAATATGGTCAAATGGCTAGTTCCAAATTGGTGAAAAATAGTGTCATTTTAAAACAATTTTACACAAAATTATCAGGAGAGTTAGTTGTATTTTGGAAACCCAAGTTGTAACCATAAAATAGAGAAAGGAGTAGTTTGATATCTATCATCGGGTAGAGGATATGATGATGATGACGAAATGATAGTTTGCTAATTATAATTTCGTCTCAAATATTATTTCTTTAATATCCCTAACAATATGATATAACGAGTGCTTGTAGAAGGTATCCTACTGAAAAAACACGACGAAACTTTGCAAATTAATCTTAATTTACTAATTGCCATGGCATTGAAAAACAAAAAGTATTCTGACTTGCCGATGCCCTGAGTGTTAGAAAAGTTAGAATACAGGACGAACCGTCCCAGCCATGTATCACGGCAGGCACAGCTATGCATTATGGATGCCCGCGTCGGAAATTAGCGGGCATAGTGCTAGACTGAAGGTCCTGCAGAATACATGCATTCGATAAGGGACAAAAAACGTTTTCGTCTGACTCGCAAAAATGGAAACTGTTTCGCTAGTGAGTGAGTGAGTGAACTACCTACATTGCTTACTTTTGAAAAATGATATGTTGATTTACTACGTTGATAAACAAAAACGTATAGTTACGGGAGTTATTTAGATTATCTTTATAAATACAGTTGTCTTTTTAATATTTTAAGCTACGAGTTATAAAAGTAATTCATTTTCTGCAAATAGGCTTTTATAAACATTTTATTTCATTATTTCTTTCTAAAAAGTGCTCATGCACGTCCCAATAGTATTTTAACCACACCACTGCTTCGGGACATTAAATAGGCCAGCGAATGTTGTTGTTGTTAAGTGTGTATGAGATATAAGATGATTAACCAACTTCCTATAAAATATCAAAATGACCTGTACTAAAATTGATTGAAAACAATTGAATGGTAAACTTAATTACTGCTAATGAAATTAACAGCAGCCAATCTAGCTTACTTTACATGTAATTTCCTTATATTACCACTATGATGTTCTTGGCCATCATCTAAAACAGAAAGTTGTGTGCCCTTGAGGAGCCACGTGCTGGCCATAATTCAGCTCTATGAATTATTTATTGCAGCATTGTCTGGCTGCTGTCGCCTGCTGGAATTTTAGAATGCAGCTCAAATTTTACCGCTGAAAGCGTAATCAATTTACGTTTTTATGACGTGGAAAGTTTTTGCCAAAAGGCTAATGGTGCTCGTTTGTTCATTGTAGTTAGTTTTCATTTAGCAATCATGTAGATTTTAGTTGTATAAATAAATCATTGTGGGAACAAAAGGTTTTTTTTTACAATAATGGGGAACTGGTGGAAAGTAATGGGGCAACAGCTAAAGTACAGTTACATCCTAAAAACCCTGGGATTTATATGTCTAAAATGGTTAATTGTACATAATGTAATGAAAGATTGTCTCAAATAAACTGATAATAACCATATTTTAAAACAAATGATTTAATTCAAATACGTCGCAATTAATCAAAGATTATAAAATATACAGAAGGTTTAAAACCTGAGTATCGGTCTAGTTATCTACCTAAACGCTCCCAAACCGTCCACATTGATTATTCGTGTAATAGGACGCGGCCGTCACCCGCAGCGCAACGAATAATTAGCGCAAAGCGATGCAGCATGCAGCTATTATGGGGATAGAGATGGCATTGTGAATTTGTGAAAATATCACCGACAAAATATCACCGACAATTAACTAACTTATATCAATATTATATAATTATGTTCCCAATCCGCTTTCGGCTACAGTAACTACGACAAAATTCCTTTAGTCCGCAATAAGAGGGCTACGCTGGGCTGCCCTATCATGTGCCTTCACATGGCTACAGTAGCCAATCTTGTTGGTAAACGTGAGCGAACAATGTCGATACGTTAGGACACCGTTGATGTAGTTGTAAATGATAGCCGCTGCTGCTGCAATATTATTCATAGAACTTTTCACAAAACTTTTCAGCAGAACAGTGTATTTACGTTTAAAACTCAGACGTAAGCCTGTGTTTAGCTGAATTTTATTTTAATATAGAGTAATTTTGACCATTCTTGATAGAAAGTAAATTGATTTTTAAGCATCGTTTTACGCTATGACACATTATGATTTAAAAAAAATACTTCCTATACCTACTTTAGTCACCGTCTTATTTTTATTTGCAAAGCTTACCTGATATACAATGTACACATTATTCCCAAAAACAGAAACCTGATCAAATTAGATAATATCATCTTACTCCATCTATTCAATGGATAATCCATAAATTTGATCCTCGTCCCCTGGCGCATGATGAATCAAGCCATTGTTGTCGCCCCCATGCCAATACCACAACCTGCCGTTTATTTATTAAACGCAGTCAGGTGACGCGCAAAGAGTATAGGTGTTAAAACAGAAGTGCCATTGCTTTTTTGACCCGGGTTGCGGTGAAATGACCCGGGACTATATTTAAACGTCTCTGAAAGTTAAATGGTTTTTACATCTTGTATCAACATGTTGTTTAGTTTTAATATTAGAGTTTCACAGTTTTATCCTTTCTTGGCGGAGCAGTACCTACATATTAAATTAAAGTTACCTTTATGTTATTCTTCATACCTGCAATATCTTGGAGCTTAATCATTATAATAATATGTTATAGGCATGAAAATGATGTAAATTCTATTTGGTTTCTGCAACAGCTGTTTATTCTGTTCCAATGTGTACCTACTCATTAATCTTCAGATTTGTGTGATTGTTGTTTGGCATAGACGTGCAGCGGGATGACAGTTGATGAAATTATATTTGAAATGTAAATCAAAAGTTGTATGATTATTATAATATAACAGCTACTTATGCGTTGCTCAATGAATGAGCCAGACAGTCAAATTATTTTTTATGGATACAAATGGACATCATACTTATATTTGCCTCCATCGAGATTATAGTCGTATCTGAAGCTGGTAAGTATTAGGTAAAGTACTGTCAGTGAGTGAGTAACCAGGCATCCAGGAATCTTAAAGAACATAAAGCAAAAGATACGGCTTGATCCCTAGACATTTACTTCATAATGCGGTATTACAAGCGCTTCGGAAGTGTTAATTAAAATTCCATGTTCGACAGAACTACCGTTTTTATTTGAAACGTTACTTTTCAATTTGACGACTTTGTTACGAACAAATTGAACAGCCAGTTTGAACAGGTCGAACAAGAACGTTTGATCAAAAAAAGAAATAATAATATGCTAAGATCATAGAAAAATAATGCTTAAAATTAATGTTTCAAGGTCTCATCGTGTGATATTTTTAACCTATTTAGACCTACCGAACCCTATGTGGTACGGTATCTTTATGAAAATATTTTGAAGTTACCAAACTGTGACAGTAAGCTAACATTGTGCAGGAAGAGATCCTGCCTGATAACTTTACGTATATGTACTTTACGGTACATGAAAAAGATCTTAACATGAAAAGCGTAGCAATAAGCAGATATTCATCCCCAACCAACTGTCATTCAATAGGAATGTAGCTCACACCGAATTTCCAATTGCAATTTCAGCAATATCGTTTCGTATTTCAGTTAGGCTTTGCGGTGTCACAGGTTCATTCATCAATTAAAATGTCTGCCACTATCGAGTGTATCCCGGCTGAGTCCTGGCTGTTTAATCTCAGCTATGGCTGGCTTGGGCATAATCCCCATCACTCATACTTACTGCCGAGGATGCACTAAGTGGATTATAGGGCATTAGCGTCGGATCACGGGAGCCGTCCGATTTCTTATACATTTGTTACTTTTTCCATCGCTTCCGAAGGATTTGTTCCTCCAATTTTATGGGCAGTTGTTTCATTTGAATGTTTTGTGAGCAATAAAATCGATTTGTAATGAACTAAGCTTTGCCGGCGATTCTATCTGGTTTTCTTTATTTCACAAAAATACTGTGTTTACATGCAAGTTTTAGAAAACAACTAGCTAAACATAATGTTCTTGATCCTTAAAAATAAATGTTTTTAAAGTAAATACTTGATGTGAAATTTTAGGGTAAAC